TCACAGTAGGCGCACACTGCTTTTATTTGATGCTGTTTGGTTTGTTTAATTTGAGGCAAGGTCTCACTGCGTTGCCTATATGAACCTCAAAACTAACATCCCTCTTGCCACTAGCTCCCCAGCACTGTGATTATAGGTGTGCACCATCATGTCTGGCTGGAAACAAAGGATCTTATAAGCTGCATTAAAAAAAAAAGTGTGTTCCAAGTAACCATTAAACAGTTGAAATGCTACTAACAAAGAGAGTTCAGGGACCTTCTCTGTCCCCAAAAAGTTAAAATAGTATTAGGCAGATGACAGTAACAGAGAACTTATAAGCTTAGCCAGGGTAGTCTATGGTTTTACCCATAAGTGCTGATAAATGTGAGCTACAGAATTGAAGGCAGGTTACAGTGCAAGGAAAATTAAGTAGATCTTTTAGAATAATAAGGACTTACTTATAGGGGAGAGTGAGAAGTACTCTAAGAAGGAGACACCTGGGTGAAAAACACAAAGATGAGAACAAGGATATTCCTATGAAAAACTATGTATATCATTAAGGACTGTGGATCATTAAGGACTGTGGATACAGGAGGCTTGGGCCAGCAGGGCAGAAAAAAACATTATAAAGGGGCTGGAAAGTTGTCTCAGTGGTTAAGTGCACTAGCCACTCTTCCAGAGAACCCAGTAGGTTTGGTTACTAGCACCCACACGGTGGCTAATAAGCATCCATAAGTCCAGTTCCAGAGGATCTGTCATCCTCTTCTGGCATCCCTGGACACTAGGCAAGCACATTAGTGCATAGACATACATGCACTCAAAACACCCATACATATAAAATAAAACAAAGGAAAACATGTTGAAAAAAAAAACTGAAATGCAAAATAACTTTGGACTTAAACAAATTTACAGGTAGTATGTAGGTTATAGTTTAAGGGTCCTGGATTACCTCTGGAGGACTACAATTAGACAGACATACAGGTTAGCTGGTCATTGGCACAGACACAGGAAAAATGTGTCTGGTGGAGGAAAAAAGTCAAGACTTGAAATCTGGACCTAAGTAATAGCTTCCCAATCAAGGGAATCATTGTTTTCTAAGATGGGCCTGAGTCCTCACACCCTGGGCTGTAACAACCCTGAGCCACATGCTAGTGCCTTTCACCCAGGCATGGGCAAGAGGACCAGATCACAGTGCAGTGAGAGTGAGTGAGTGAGTGAGTGAGTGAGTGTGTGAGTGAGTGTGTGTGTGTGTGTGTGTGTGTGTGTGTGTGTGTGTGTACATAATATATATATTATATCAGTTCTGTTTCTGATCCTCTAAAGAACCCTGACTAATACTCTGATATTTATTCTAATAACAAGTAACGGGTTCACATCCAAGGCGCAGACTCAGCCAGTGGACAAACAGAAGAAATCAGTGGCAACAATGAGCAGTAGCAGCTTCACCAGAGCAGCCCTGTAGCCTGCTCCCAGCAGAAGACTGTAGGGACGCCTTGATTAAATGGAGCGGAATCACTTTTCAGTTCAGAGCAAATCAATCAGTATAAATCATAATTACAGCTATCACTTATTAAGGGATGTATTATGTACCAGACATGTGGCATACCACACTACCTAATCTGACCTCATAGAAACCTGAGGAGAAATCAGTCAGTCTCAATATCTCTCTCCCTCTCACTTCTTCTCTCCCCTCCCTCCCTCCCTCTCTCCATCCCTCCTTCTCTTTTCCTTGGATACCAAATCCAGGGCCTAGGTGCTCACCTATGAACTACTCCACTGCTGCTAGATCCAAATCTCTTCCTTTAGATCAAATTAGGGAAGTGGGAGTCAGAGGCGCTAAGTGACTTTGCAGGGTGCCCCAGTTAGGAAGCAGCAGAACAGGGTCAAACCAATGTTGTCCACTCTGACTTTGGACTTCAGCTATGGTAGTAGACAGTGCCCCCCCCTTTCTTTGGCCATGAGCTGCCTGCAAAGTCCTGATTCCTCATGTGCATCTTTGCTAATATTTCATCCTACCCAAGACAACTAGACTCTCACATACATCCCTTCACTTACCTATCTGCTAGCAGGCTTCCTGACATTCTCTCACCAATAACATGTGTTTGCTTAAATGTTCCAGCTTAGGAACATGCCTGCAGCCAGCATGCACTGATCAAATTAATGTGGCTTAATTTTTTAAAAGATAAATACAGTTGAAGGTTAGTTTCAGAATTACACTTTAAGGATGTCCAGAGGTATAGCACAGTGACAGCCCACATTCTTAGCACGTGCAAGGTTCTGGGTTATATCCTTAGGAATGAAAAGAAAAAGATTGTACTTTAGACAAAGAGCCAATTAATTCTATCTTGCTTTTTATTTCTTTTCTTTTTAAAATTTTAAACTTTATTTTTATTTATATGTATATGTGTGAATATATGTACACCCGGTGCAGGAACTAGTGGAGGCCAGAAGTACAGATACCCTAGAACTGGAGTTACAGTGAGCCATACTAGTTCTGAGAACTGAATTCAGATTTCCTGCAAGAACAGTCAGTACTCTGAACTGTTGAGCATCTTTCTACCCTCTGTCCTGCCTCTTTTAAAGGAATACTGTAAAATAGTGTCTAAGAAAAATATCTTTCCTAAACCAGAATGACAAATAACTGTGGTAACTTTAAATTTCAATGGAACCTCTGAGTTTAGCAATATAAACCTATTAATTCTCAAGTGACAGAAACATGACCTCATTTTTATGGGCTGCTTCTTCTGCCAACAAAAAATTTCCAACCAATTATCTCAAGAGATAGACTTAACCTTCCTAAAGGCATAGGAAGTACAAGATGCCACCTGCCTGATAGGTGAAGAAAAGCAATGGCCAATGGTATACTAGTAAATGTAACAATTGGCTCTCACATGAAACATCCCAGTTTGGTGCCAGGCATGGTGGCATATCCCTCTAACCCTAGAATTCAGAAAGTAAAGACAGAAGATAAGAAAGTCAAGATCGGCCGGGCGGTGGTGGCGCACGCCTTTAATCCCAGCACTCGGGAGGCAGAGCCAGGCGGATCTCTGTGAGTTCGAGGCCAGCCTGGGCTACCAAGTGAGTTCCAGGACAGGCGCAAAGCTACACAGAGAAACCCTGTCTCGAAAAACCAAAAAAAAAAAAAAAAAAAAAAAAAGAAAGTCAAGATCATCATTGATCACCTAGCAAGTATGAAGTCAGTCTGGGTTATGTGAGACCCTGTATCAAACAAAATATATTTTGTGCTCATCTCTCTTTTCCTACTCTTGTACAGTCCAGGATCCCCTGCCTAGAGAGTGATGCCAATGCAGTGGGCAGGTCTTCCACCTCAACTAATATAATTAAGATAATCCCCCACAGACGTGCTCGCAGGACAACCTAACCTAGACAATCACTCATTGAGACTCTTCTCCCAAGTGATTCTAGATTGTATCAAGTTAACTAAAGCTAACTATCTAGAGTTCAGTGGTTGAGAGCACTTACTGATCTTGCAGAGGGCCTGAGTTCAGTTCTCAGCATCCACATTTGTAACTCCAGATCCAGGAGGATCTGATACCTCTGACCTCCTTAATCACCTGCACTCACATGCCTATACCAACATACACATAGATGTAATTGCAAAAAAATAATAAATCTTAAAAAGGAAGAAGAAAAACTAACTATACTGGGACAGACTCACATCAGCCAGAGAAAGGGCATATCTTCTTTTTTCTTTTAAGTTCTATTTGTCTTTCAAGGTCATTAACAGGTGGTTCTTCTTTGGGCCAGTGGCTTGGCTCAGCAAAATAAAGATTCTTGGCACCAACCCTGAATTTGATCCCCAGTACCCAAGTGGTAGAAGAAAACGGGCTTAGGCAGGCATTTGCCCCCTACCAATACATAAATGTAATAAGATGTTCCCTCTTTAGGGAATTCTTCCCCATTCCTCACAGTTATTAATCCCCCAGTATTGTTTCTTATAAAATTTTATTTTTCCCACTATAAAATAAATGTGTTTTCATCAAAGAATATAAAAAACATCCAATAACAAGGGGAAAAAACAAAAACAAAACTCTTGTGATGTCCAGAATTACAATGTAGCCTAGGCTGGTTTCGAACTCCTGATTCTCCTCCTCAACCTTTCAAGTGCAGGGATTACAGGAGTATGTTACCACACAAAGCTTTACAGCTTGGATCACAAATGTACTGAGAGGCCCATGTGTACTGAGAGGCCTTGTCCCCAGGGTGGTGCTACTGAACAATGGTGGGATCTTCAACAGGTAGGGACTCCAGAAGCTGAGGCAGAAGGATCCTAAGTTCAAGGCCTATCTGAGCAACTTAATGAATAAAATAAATAAAATTAGGAAGAGGAGCTAAGGATATGGCTCAGTGGTAGAACATTTGCCTGGTATGTGTGAAGCTCTGGGTTTGCTCCTCTGCAGCACTCACCAAAAGAGGTGTGTCTAACAGAGGTCTTTGGATCATTGAGGATTATGCCCTTGAAGAAAATCCTGGGAACCCCAACCCTTCACTATTGCTTCCTAGCCATGGGGTTAGCAGCTGTGCTCTGATGTGCTCTTCACCATGGCTATCCAGTATCCTCAGCAGAAGCCAAAATGCACTGGGTCCCTCTAAGCATGCATGTAAGACCAGGAGCCACAATAAGCCTTCTTTTTTTTCTTGATAACCATCTCAGGTATTTGCTATAGAGGTGAAAAGTTGACCAGAATGCAGCACTTATCCATCTTTGTATCACTGGCTTCACTGCCCTGTACAGTGACTGCTTATGGTGGAGCTCCTCCTGAGAAAAGAGCAGTATTAGCCACATCTGTTCCTGCCTTCCCCAAGCCTACCCAATGTCCACCCCCAAAATAACACCCACCTTGTAGCTGTCCCAGTTCACCCAGATGCTTCATTATAAGCTTCTCTGCACATAAGGAAACTGAGCTGTTCATGTTCACACTTAAGAGTTGGCTTTCTTCATTTTCCTAAACACATATTACCACACTCCCATCTGGAGCGAGGCAGGCACTTGTCCTTACCTGCATGCCTCTCATTTTCTGGAACCGTGCAATGGTGTCACTGAGGGTGTAGACTCGTACATGGCCCATGTGCAGCTTGCCAGAAGGGTATGGGAACATGGAGAGCACGTAGAATTTGGGCTTTGATTTCTAGGAAAGAGTGACAAAGGATGACAGAAAGTGTTTATTACATATTTTCTGGAAGCTCTACATACATTAATATTTTGGCACTTTACTCAAGGTAATAATTTAACATTTTAAAAACTTTCTTAAAGAAAAAAACCTGCTAGGCAGTGGTAGCACACATCTTTAATCCCAGCACTTGGGAGTCAGAGGCAGGCAGATCTCTGAGTTTGAAGCCAGTCTGGTCTACAGAGTTAGTTCCAAGACAACCAGGGCAGCACACAGGAAATAAAAAACCAAAGGGGGGGAGGGGGGAGAAAAGAAAAAAAAACTGTTCTCATTATGTAAATTGACAAAAATGTTAAAACCTCCAAAATCTAAAGGTCCTGGTTTAAGCTGAAGGATGTCCACAATAATTCAGAACAATGTGTAAGTGCTAATTAGTCTTAATGTTTTTTTAATTTTTCTCCCTCTTTTAAAAGCTACTCTCCTAAAGGAGTTTCGACCTAAGTTTTAAAGGACTGTTTTTCCAAATGAGCCTCTAACACAGAGATCCACTTTACTCAAGTAGAAGAGGCTGAATTACAAAGAGATCTCCATAACTAGTCTCTTCCCCAGCTCCCCTGACTGCATCCATCTGAGATCCACTGTGGACAACAGGGTCTCCAGGCACTAGATGGGTCATGAAGTCTCTCCTGTGCACTGGAGTTTCTCTTTTCACAGAAAAGGCTCAAGTGGAAAAACCACGACGAAACCAACCACAAAAGGAACACCACTGGTTGTTTCCCAGAAGTGATAAATACGTGAACACAGATCAGGGTCATATGATTCTCCAGCTTCCAGCCACAGCAGCATGGAAAACACAGGAAATCTACACATCTGACTAGAATGAAGACAGGTCACTCACTACCTTTGGGCACCCTCAGTCTTCCACTGGCAGGATGGCAAATGTTGTCAAGAGTTTGTGCATGTCAGAGGACAAGGTCCCAAAAGAATGGGTCTAGTCATGGAACTGATTACTTATGGGAGACCTGATACTTTTGGCGCTTGTAGAAAATTCTGCAGTGCTGAGGACAACTGAGGACCTCATACATGCTAGGTGAGTGCCGTAACACTGTACTTCATGTATAGCTCCAAGGATTATGTGTCATCTCTACATTCACATCTTGCCACCCAAAAGGACTGCAATAACTCCTAAATGAATACTTGTTGGCCTTTGGGGAAGCACCTTCTAGCAAAGGCACAGCCGTTCCCCATAGCAGACTTTACAAATCCTGTCCAGGTAATGGGAGGCTCCCCTAACTAAGCCTCAAATTCTGCCATGGGGTATGGTGATGTGTGTGTGTGTGTGTGTGTGTGTGTGTGTGTGTGTGTGTGTGTGTGTGTGATCTAACAAATAAAGCTTGCCTGAAGATCAGAGAGAAGAGCTAAGCCACTAGTTAGCCACAGAGGCCAGGCAGTGGTGGCACACACCTTTAATCTCAGCACTAGGGAAGCAAAGGCAGAAGGATCTCTGTGATGTTCAAGGCCACCCTGAGCTACACAAGACTGATCCAGTCTAAAAGAGAAACAGAGCCAGGCAGTGGTGGCACATACCTTTGATCCCAGCACTTGGGATCTCACGCTTTCAATCCCAGTACAAGGGAGGTGGAGACAGGAAGCGATATGGCTGGGCAGAGAGAGGAATATAAGGCAGGAGGAGACAGGACAGCATGGCATTTAGTCTCAGGATTTGTAGAGACAGGATCTCCCCCTTTCTGCTAAGGATTTCATAGAGGTAAGTGTAGGGAAAAGGGGCTGGCTAAAGAAACCCACCCTGACCCTAGAGCCCAGAACTAGGGAAAGATGGCTCAGATAAAGCCAGTGAAAGAAACAGTTTGGCTTAAATCAGAGCCATCTCTACCCCTGGCAAACTGACTTGTGAAACCAACCAATCACAGAGCAGGACAGTAGCACCCTAGCCCTGGGGCCCAGGACCAAGGAAAGAAATACAGCCTGGGTTAGGGACCTGAGTCAGAGAAATGAACACTTTATCCCCAAACCTAGAACCAAGGAAATATGCCCTGACTCTGAAATCAGTACCAAAGAAATACTTTTGGTTCCTAGAATCAGAGTCAGCAAAAGAAATGTGCCAGTGAAAGAAACACAGTTTGGCTCAGATCAGAGCCATTTCTGCCCCTGGCCAACTGATTTGTGAAATCAACCAACCACAGAGTAGCACCCTGGCCCTGGGCTCAGTGAGATCAGAGCCATCTCTGCCCCTGGCCAACTGACTTGTGAAACCAACCAATCATTGAGCAGGAAGGTAGAACCCTGGCCCTGGGGCCCAGGACCAGGGAAAGAAACACAGCCTGGGTTTGGAACCTGAGCCGGAGAAATGAACATTTTATCCCCAAACCCAGAACCAAGGAAACAAGCCCTGACTCTGAAACTAGTACCAAAGTAACAATCTTGGTCCCTAGAATCAGAGTCAGTGAAAGAAATGTGCCCTGGCCTTAGAAGCAGTGTCAAAAGGCCAAAAAAGGCCAGTGGAAGAAACACAGTTTGGCTCTGAAATCAGGGCCATCTCTGTCCCTAGCCCACAAAACTGGCCAATCCCTGGGCAGAAAAAAAAAAAACAAAAAACAAAAAAAACCCCTAACCAATCACTGGTTGACTCCACCCCCAAGACATCCTATATAAACCGCCCTGCCTGGTTTAGGCAGGTAGAGGCTGCTACTCTCCTGAACTACTCCTTCCCAAATAAATCTCTTTCTCAAGAGTTTTGGGTGTGAAAATCTTCATTCATTGGCATAGAGAAGATCCTTGCTAAAATGTCCCTCAGTAGACACAGCAAGGGAGAGCTGAAAGAGCTGAAAAAGCAACACTTTTCTTCAGAGCTGATTGCTACATTTCTGCAATTTCTTAGGCTGGAGAAGCAGAGGTCTGCTAGGAAGCTCCCTTAAGTTGGGGCTGAGCAAAGCTCAGCTGTAGCGGCTCTCCAAGAGAGGAGCAGGACTGCTATATCCTGCAGGGAGACCACCCCCCCATCACACCAGGTATAGCTTGACTCTCTCAAACAGTCAGGATACCCTTCCCTGCTGAAGCAGTTCCAGGTCTGACTCTCCCAAACAGTCAGAAAAACGTCCCCTCCAGGGCAGAGCTGCCCCAAGTGGCTTGAGGTTAAGTGGCTTCCCAGCTCCTAGCTTCCCAGGATACCTCGCCCTCCAGCTGTCAGCTGTTCTAAGCAGCTACCTCGCCCTCCAGGGCTGCTGTCTCATCACAGCTCCAGCCATCACCTGACTCCCAAGTGGTCAGGCTACGTCTTCCCAGAGCTGCAAAACTCACGTTTTGGTGCCAAAATCCAGGACCAAACCCACAGAGTTGCAACAAACTTACTTACAGTAAGAACTAGTGGCTGGCTGCTCTGTTCTGATCTTTCAGCTTTCACCATGAATCTGACTGTAGGTTTTTATTAATAAGACCAATTAGAATTTGTGCCACAATGGGGCATCTAGAAGAGTGACAGGTAACTGCTGCTGGTGGTCAATGAGGATGGGTCATCTACTGTCACACTATTGTTAATTTTGGCCTTCTAGATCTCTCTTTTTGGTCCCTACTTCTTCCTAGAGCTTAGCCAAGCATCAAGGCTCTCCCAAAGCAATGAATATAAACACAGGCAGAAATTCATAGCCCTTCCTGTGCATGTGTGGGAGGGAATGTTTTAAACATTGTTGGCTAGTATTTGCATGACGGATGATGGACAGAGCCTACTTGCAATGGTTAATACCAATTGTTGCCAGGCAGTGGTGGCCTTTAATTCCAGCATTCAGGAGACAAAGACAGGCAAATCTCTGTAAGGTTGATGCCAGTCTGGTCCACAGAGTGAGTTCCAGGACAGCCAGGGCTACACTGAGAACATCTGTCTCAATAAAACAAAAGAAACAAACCCATCTATTAACCTGTTAGGTTCTAGAAGCACCAAGAATAGCAAAGTTAAGGCATGTTAGTCAACATAGGTTAACTAAGGACCCAGCCTAAATGTAATTAGTACCGTTCCATGGGCTCAGGACTTGAACTGAAAAAGAGAAAGAAAGATGAACAGCGGCATTCCTCTGTCTCTGCTTGCTTTTTGTAGATACAGTATGACCAACTGCCTTCCCCTCATCTAGACTGGATTCTCCAAAACTGTGGGCCAAATGAACCCTTCTTATGTTGCTTCTACCTGATATTTCATTACAACAAAAATAACTAATACACAACTTGAATCAGGGAAGCAGAACAAGAAATCAGATTCCAGCCAAGTGGGTTTTTTTGTTTGTTTGATTGATTGACTGGTTGATTGATTAATTGGTTGATTGGTTGGTTTTTGAGGTAGAATTTTGCTATGTAGCACAGGTTGGCCCTGAGGAAGCTGTGACTTTTTCTGCTTCTCTCATCTTCCAGCATTCACCCCAATAACTGGCCTCAGGTTTGATTTTATTAATAAGACCATTTAAGATTCCTGCTACATCTGGCGCCCAACGTTTGTGGTACGAGTTCTCAAAAAAGCTACTTGCCTGCGGCCTCAAGGGCCCCAGTTCAGGCCAGAGCTACACTTTTGTTGTGGTGGCGCACACCGTTGGATTTACTGAAGGAGGCAGAGGCAGGAGGATCCCGAGTTTGAGGCCGGCCTAGGAGGCTTGCTAAGGAGAAATTTCAGCCCAGGACCTGGCCACAAACAGTGGCAGTGGGACCATGGAGGCAGCTACTGCTGCTCCAAGTTGCTGGCTGCTTCTCAACATGTTGGTGACTGTGGTGATGCTGCTACCTGGGATGAAGGATTTACTGCTGCTTGTTCAGAGAAGAATTACCAGGACCATTGTATTACCAGAAAGCATCCGCAAAGGTCAGTTTGGAAAAGTTTGGCAAGACAAATGGTGGGGAGAAATTGCTGTGAAGATTTTCTCTTCTAGGGAAGAACGTTCATGGTTCTGAGAGACAGACATTTATCAGACTGTGATTGCTCCAAACCACAGAGGAGGCACCCACCCCCCAAAAAAATTCTG